ACAGTACGTGTTGTGATGAGTCGTCTTCTGTTTTTTTTTTTTTTTTGCTGTGAACCACGGTCTCTTGTGGTTGTCACGGCCTCGAAACACCTCAACGCACTAAACATATATTTATTTATTTAAAAAAAAGTCAGCGAGAGAGAAGCCCGGCCCGACCCGAACCCGAAGCAATGATTGACATTTTAGGCCCGACCTGACCCGGGCTCGGACTTAAGATCTTACCTCTAGCTGTGAGAAGATCTTACCTCGTTTTCAAAGTTTTAATAACTGCCCTCGACCATCCAATCACAAAGTAATACCCTTCATGTAGTTTTTCCTTTTGACTGGTAAAAAGTCCGAAAACCATTTTATTTCCTGTAATTTCCGGACTATCGAGCGCACCTGATTATAAGCTGCACCCACTACATTTTTAGAGGAAAAATTATTTTGTACACACATAAGCTGTACCTGTCTATAAGCTGCAGATGCCCACTTTGCAACATGAGTTATTTGCAGAGAAAGATGGTACACAGAAAACGTTTTCAAAGTTTTAATAACATCATTAACTTTTCTTTCCAAACAGTGCCTGTAACGCAGCAGCCCCACGGCAGTAAAATAGCACTAACACGGCTGGTTAAAAAAAAACAAAAACATTAAAGTCACTGTTCACGAGTAATGCTTTTTTTTTCAGTGAAAAAAATCCTCGCTTGCCGTGACACTCGGTCAACCATTCCTTCATTAGGCTTTCTACCATCCATGCTTTCGGGTCAAGTTTCAGGAGGTGTTTTTCTTTTTCTTTTTTTTTTTTGGCTGTTTGGCTGTTTGGTAATCCTTGGTGGATGCAGTGAAGCCCAAAACACAGGTCTAATGCGCCCTCTCATGGCCGATTGTTTTCAGTGTGTGACAGATGAGAGCGTCTTCCTCCGCATTTGTGTGTGTGTGTGTGTGTGTGTGTGTGTGTGTGTGTGTGTGTGTGTGTGTGTGTGTGTGTGTGTCAACTTGTCTCACGCTTATGTTTTATGCTTGAGCCCCCTGGTGGCCATTAGAAAAGTCGTTTTAAAGGCCGCTTTATTAAATAATCCGCAGGGTTGAAAGCGTGTGACAAAAGTCACGGTTTATAGTCCGGAAATTACAGTATGTCATTAAAAAAAAAAAAAAAAAGAAATAATATTTCTTATTTTGCAATTTTGAATGTTCCTCAGTGGTGATGATAGCAGCTGGTATCTCTGTACCTGATACTCACAGGCCATGTGTTGAATGTTTTTACTTTTCTTGATGATTTACCAAGTATCTCAATGTGTGCACACACATGTCCCACTTTTGTGAGTTCTGTCTGTTACGGACAGCCGAATAAACCTCTTTCTGAAAACAACCCTGGTGTCAGCATGATTTTAATAGAGCCCATTTTTGTTGTGGACGAGGTGAGATGTTCCGTTAAAAAGGTTTGGCTACTGTAGTTTTACATGATACACACTTTTTTTCCTTTTGCATCAACTAAAACAAATTAGTTATACTCTTCTTCAAACTGATGTCTACCAGTAAACAGCAAACATCAGTCCTTGAGTATTGTGCTCTCTGAGTCTTAAAATTGGTAATGCGTCTTTCCTGTGGTTCTTTCTCAGAATGGACTTCGAAGACGAGGATGGAGAAGGACCTAGCAAATTTTCAAGGTGAGGAAAATGAATGCAGCGGTCTTCTCTGACATTCTGTACGTCTCGTTGCAACCTGGTAGACACAGTTAGAACATTGGCTACAATTCAAGTGTTCAGTACTGTATATCTTAACATCATACAGTATGTGCAGCTCTTTTCTTCTCAGTTTTATCCACTAATCTTGTCCTGAAATGTATAAATAAAATCATTAATAAGCTTTAAGATTTAACCAAGAAGACTTGCAGATACACGATGCTTATAAATGGTTTGTCTGATCACTTCATAAATCATTTTGTTTTCATTCATTAAGAGCACAATGATCATCTTTTAATTTCTGGTATGTAACTCAGCTGTCCTAGTGACTTTCAATTGTCTCAGCCTGTTTTCTTCCTCCCCCCCTTTTTGTTCTCGCTTCTAAGTCCATAGGTTGTAAGTGTATTATTTCATCGGTAGAAATCTCCACAGTGGTTTCCTGTCAGGTGAATGATGGTAGTGTAGAGCAGGGGCCCCCAACCTTTTTTGCCCCACGGACCGGTTTATGTCAGACAATATTTTCAGGGACCGGCATTTAAGGTGTGGCGGAAATAATACAACGAAATAATATGGTATGAGCTGCATGAAAATGGTGGCGTTTTCGAAATAT